CGCCTGACACGCATTCTCCCATCGTCAGATCTGAACTGAACAGCAAAAACTTCTCCTCAGTTTTCACCATGTAATCCTAATTTGTACCACCCAATTGTACAAAAAAAGTTTTAGCTCATTCAGAAGGTTATGACGAAATGTGAAGATCTTTTTCACATCGCTAGTTCACGATAATTGGCCTGGCCTGACCTGACCTGAATTCATCTCTCATCGTTAAGAAGATATTAAACGCTTAGAAATTTATTATTAAGATAACATCAAGAAATTAATAAATAAATCAATATAAAAAAAAAATATTCGTTATTTATTGGTGTTAAATCTTTTTTTTTTTTTGTTATACAGCTAAAGTTGGCAATTATAACTTCCTTTTGGGCAATCGGTAGCATATCAATTGTTGGCCAAGATGTATGTTGGCCTTTTAATATATATAACCACAAAAAATGTGTTGACAAACTTTATAAAACGACAAAGGGAACAAAACAGTAAAAGAGAAGGACCTAACAATATTGCACACGTTCCAGATAATGGAAAAACATCTCCGAAACGTTAAAGAAGTTATAAAGATATGTGATAAATTAAATAATGTACAACAGCCAATTGCTGACATTCCCTTCAAGAAAATTAGTATAAATGTTAAAATAAAAATACGTCATTTTATGATTATTACCTTTATTTATCAAATTAATTAATCCAGAGAGAAAAATGTTAAAATTTTACGGTTGTTAAACCGCGTTGAGTTGTTAAATCACTCAGCATACTAATCGGTTATAATCGATACGATTTAATAAAAGAGAACAAATAGGTGTCTACTGAAATATAGTTTATCAATTTAGCCTGTGCAAATAATTAGCGAAGAATATTGGTGAGTGAACAAATGACCAAATAATACAACTTTTCATTAGAAGAAGCAATTATGTTCTATTTTTACGGCAATTTTAATCGACCTAAGAAAGGGAAATTATCATAAAACTTCATTCATGGGTAAATGAAACAAAAAAATTATACTTTTGAAGTTATTTGCAAATTTATTTTTTTGTTTATTATTATTTCTTAATGATATTTACAACTATATTAAATAAATACATCTAGTAAATTTTAACATATGGATATAATGACATGAAAACCCTAGCTCAAGTCCAAATAGGCCTTAATTTGCAAATTAAATTTCTTTTCCTTCAAAACTTTTTTCCTTGAATTCCAGAGTATGTGAATATGTTTCCCACCTAAAGAAAAGGAAGATTTTCAAAATGAGGGATCAATCATTGGGTTAGATGAAGAATTGACAAAAATATAGCGTACCGACCAAAAAACATCTTTAGAAAGAAATTTTATTTTTAATCTACCTCGTGCGGTTATCTGGTTCTCATAATTCGTTAAAATGAACTAATATTCAATTAAAAATAGAAGAAAAAATGTTTGTGACAAAAAGTCACCTATTAGTAGCTCACTGGACCGCAAGAAATGGCTACACGGTCACTCCTCGCGGGTGACATACCGTGGAATATCCGACCTCCAGTGAGCATGCTGCGTAAAGCAGTCGGTACAACTTGTCCAGGAGCGGTACTTTCTCTGTGTATTGACTCGGATCTCCAGTGTCCGTTGGTCTTCCAACCTACTTCGCAACGGCTGGAATTTCTCAGTCCTCCTGGAAGTGTGTCGTACCTCGGGGATCACAGGTGCGGCGAGCTTTTACCAAGAAGTCGTTGCATTCTTCCGCAAAGGACATCCGTTTCTAGGAGGTCATTACCTCAATATTGTTTGTGTCGTTCGAAAATACTTTCTTATTTGATGGCTGTGAATATACGGAAATAATATCTCGAATTTCAACTCAATCGGTTCCCAAACTTTATACTTGCTACAACTCCCTAAAATAAATATGTTTTGCGCTCTTTCCTTTTAATAATAGATATAATAATTAATTATTCATTAAAATAATAATTAGTTTATTACAATAAATATGTAATGACAGTACAATTTAGAGGAATGGAATGCTAGTAGAGTACCATAAGAAAGTTTTGCTTCTGATTGAAAAAGCGAATGTTTTGTAAATCTACTTTAAAGATAACTGTATATGGTATACACATATCATAAAAGTACACACTATGTTCTTAAATAATATACATATTACGTTAAAGTACATTTCAGAAACAGTCGTTTTCTTAAGAAAAGCTCAATGAATTACCAGAATAATAAGTGTTTTTCCCATCATATCTGGCATATGATGGATTTGTTCTGTTCTGTAACCAGAGTAAAAAAGTGAAGAATCATTCCATTGATCCAACACAAAATAAATTTCAACCTGCCCAGGCCGGAATCAAACCGGAGAACAATGGGACAAGCAAGAGAAAACTCAAAGGCAAGCGTGTGCACAGCACCGCGCGTTGCCTGGCCACCTGATAACCGAAGTTTTGAGATAAATAAATAATTACGAGTTCGAAACCCGGTGCCCGGTGGGTCTTTTAACTCGGCATAATTCTCCGGCTATCTTCCCTGGAAAAGGGAAGAGAAAAACACCATATAGCCTAAAGGAAAGGAAGGGTAGACGTTAAACTTTTATCATAAACCTGGAACTTTATTACAACAATAATTTCGTTAGAACTTTTATTATGAATTTTTTTCATAAAATGTCTCAGATAAATTGTTAAAATGGAATTTTTAAACAAAGTTCCATAAAAATTTAAACTCCTGCCAATGACTACTTATAAAAAAATTATTAAATGAATTTACAAAAAAAAAAAACAGTGACACTATTTATTTTAATTTAAGCTTGTTTCGCTCTTGGTTTTGTAATGGTAACCTGATGCATTTATTAGTTCTTGCTAGCTTTACGCCGATAAACAATTTGTAACAAATGTTAACTGCGAATGAATTGTAAAAAAAATATGATAAACTTTGTATGAAATATGATAAACAAGATATATATTTTGTACATTTGCCGAACCTGAAACCTTTTAAAAGTCGGCTAAACTTTAAGATCGTATGACTTGAAGAATTAACAAATACTAAACAATCGCAGGAGAGAGTAACTATATTTTTTTAGTAATATCATCATCCTACTTTTGGAAAACTCAACAATGATAGGTTTGCAACGTTACAAAAAGTGGTAACTCATATTAGTTGGGAAAACTTTTACTTCTCATATTATACTTTCTCCTTCATTACTTACAACTCATGAAATTCTCATGGGATCAAAACTGTTGTAATAAGATTTTTTTCTACATTACGTTTATTATGCAATTATTGAATACTTAATGTTTATAAATATAGACTATTTCATAAATTTTTAATGGAATAGTTCATAAATATAAATAATTACTATATTAATTGAAATCATTGTCAGATATATATATATATATATATATATATATATATATATATATATATATATATATATATATATATATATATATATATATATATATATATATATATATAAAATTGATAGTAGACCTCAAGAGCTACAAAACATTTTATATAAACCCTCCAACGTTTATCACTCAGATCTGTTTAACAGGAATTGATCCGTAAACATAAGTAACAAGATAAATTGAATATTTAATAGTTGACTGTTGCATTTGAAAGGAAGGAGATGGTCCGGGGTGGCGGTCATAAATATGCTAAATAGGGGCAAAACGATTTTTCGTATCTTGTCCGTTCTAGCTCTGAAGATCTGCAAAGTCAGGTCGAAAAGTTCAGTTTTAATAAAATAATTTTTCCACAATTTAGCCTATTTATGACCACCGCCCCGGACCATCTGCTTCCTTTAACGAGAAAAATGTTTCTTGTCTCAAAATTTACATTTGAAACAATGAAACCTACTGATTGCTACAATTATTTTAATGAAAACGTATATTTTAGGATCAGGAACATTTAGTTTGACATTTATAAAACTCTACAACAGCATTTATTGTAAAAGTCTTGTCAATGACTCTACAGGGTAAAGGCAACAAAATTTTAAAAAATCTGGTGCAGTACTCACGTCACACAACTTTCACTTACCACATATTTTTTTTTACAGCAGAAATAGGTATTTTCAGACAAATGAATTTGACAGTAAAAATTACTGACGATGCAAAATATTATTTACAACCATTAATACCCATATGTTTTACACAACCGTCTAATGAATCGCTGTATATTTTAATTATTTACTTAATTATAATAAATAGTTAATGTTTTTAGTCCACCAAGCTATTCACTGATATTTTATACCACTATTTTGAAAATAAGGCATTTAAGCTCTGTGAAAGAACATCGATGAGAATAAGACCAAATATATATTTGTAAAACTCCTTTATCCTACACTTATATAATGAATATAATCAAAATCATTAGCACCGTTTTCGAAAATCGTTAGAGCCGTTTTCGAGAAAATCGTAACAATGTGTAACATGGGTGATATAAAGTGGCACTTCCGGTTAGCCGATTATGAAAAAAATGTTGCTGTAACATACCAGCCATAGGCAAACCTTAAATATATAATTTCGAATTCGTACGACTTTTCACTTTTGGGCTAGATTGTACACACAAACAGAACATTTTGTGAGACTTCGTTATTTAGACTTAGAGGAACTTGAAGCATATATTTCTTCCAAGGAAAATTCGGATTCAGAAATTTCCACGATCGTAATATTTTCCCATATTATATATTTTTTCTTATAGAGGTAAGCGAAAGTAATAAATAAAATATGTTTTACGTGGTTGAGGAATTTCTGTTCATAAATTTTGTTAAAACAATCTCATGTTTTTTTTTTTAATAAAAAAAATCATAATATTCGTATTTATTTTTTTGTTAATTTTTTTTTTTTTTTTTGTTTCATTCACCTAGAAATCCACTTAACAGGATATTAAATAAGCCACTTTAAAAAAAAAAAATTAAAAACCAGATACAAATAAATGCTTATTTTTCCATTTATTAGGCATTAATGATAAGTACTTATTAACTGTTTATCAAAATAAGAAGTATCAAGAGAGATTAATCAAAAGGACAGAATATCTAAGCATCATAAATTTATTACAAAAAAGTTTATTTAAATATAAAAATGTATAAAAATATGGCAATAGTTTAACTTAGCAGAAAAAGGGCACCATTGTTGTACGTATTACATTTCGTAATTATCGCAGGTATTACATTAACCCGTAAACACACACTCAACCGATGAAAAAATGAACCAGAGATTCGATCGGCTCAGCCTTGCGATCCATGAGCAGCCATTCATGGTGACAGCGTACTTTCTTTCGGTGGATCCGTGACGTAAGTTAGCTCATTGAGATAGTACCTACAACATTCAAAATATATAAGTAATGCACTCCACAATTCTTATTAAAACAGCTGATAAGTGATGAAATAAAGTTTTAAAATTATATTGTATTATTGCTACTGGCTTAGGCACAGACTATCTATTCCGATTGGGGACGATGTACCCCATAAAAAAAGTCGCAACAGTATATATTATGTATAAAAATTATAAGTGGTAATTATCATAATCAACATAATTATTGTAAAACGAACAATATATAGCTATATATATAAATACATTTTTATACAAGGTGTTTCAGGATTAAGTGACCAAACTTCAAAAATGAACTAAGGACCTCAAAACTATCCTCTGAAATTATGTCCACAAATGCTTTGATTAGGAGATATTCACACCTATGTTATGACTTATTTACGTTATATGAAATAAATAAAATTATTTGTCCCAACTACTTTATTAATTTAATGTAAACATTAATATGTGAGGTTGGGGATAATAGACAATATTTTAATAGGTCTGCTTTTCTTGCCGCCTCGACTCAATGCGGGCACATTTCTGGAATTTCTTAATAATGATTACTATGATTTAGTTGAACATATTCCATTATAACTGATATGGCTTTAATTAGATGGTTCTCCTGCACATTACGGAAGAGGTCCATGACAATGGCTGAATGTTAAATATCCCAATCAATGGATTGGTCCTGCAGGGCCAGTTGCTTGGCCTGCATGAGCTCCAAACCTGACAACATTGTTTTTTTTTTGTTTGGTGTGACCTTAAACAAAAAGTCTATGCAAGTCCAGGTTAATTGCCTTAATTCCTTACAAAGAAGTATAATTGAATCTTGTGAAATAATAACACATATCCAGTGCCGTTCTGGCACTGCTGCTGTTGAAGAAAGATGCCGAGCCTGTCTTAATGCTCAAGAAAATCACTTTGAACAACATTTAATATGCATGTAATGTTTATGTTTAATTAATAAAGTAGTTGGAACAAATAAATAAGTTTTATTTACTTAATATAACGTAAATTATTCATAACAATGAAAATGTTTAGGTGTGAATATCTCCTAAATAAAGTGTTTGCGGACATACCTTCATAGGAATTTCTTTTCTTGTTTTGAGACCCTTAATTCATATTTTCAGTTTGGCCAATTAACCCTGAAACACCAGATGTATGTTTATATATTAGTTTTTATGTGCGGATATAATTGTAAATATGTTAACAAAGCGATTGAATATATCAGATTTTATTTTAAGGTTTGAGGTAGTGAGAGTAATTCCCAGTTCTCTGATGCTTCAAATCTGTTGCTAGAAATGTGATAAAATCTTCATGTAGAAATGAAAGAGTGCACATGAATGAGAAATAAAATCCTAGAATAAGTTGCTACATATAATTATCTTTGAATATAAACTAAATTTCAATAATAGAAATATAGGATGTGGTAAATTACTTGGATATCTACTTCTAGGCATTAGCTTAGCCATCTAGTAGACTTATTCTATTTCATAAATTGATTTTATTTTGCATGTTTTATACATTAATGTAAATTTATTGATTTTGATAATTTTGTTCTTCGAAATATGAGGGGGAAGGGGGAGCGAAACAATGTTCTCTCCCTTCATATTTTACTTTTGTTGTTAAACATATTTTCAAAATACCATATATATATTTTTTAGTGCCAGATGAGTAATGATTTCCAAACACAAGAGATAATGTTTTCAATTTAACTTTTTTGTGAAGCTAGGCCCTATTAGACCTTAATTGTAAGATTCAATGGTTTTAATATAAAACTAAATTGTTATGGAATCGAGAGTAAATAATGTTAAAAAGATTGAGGAAAATTTAGAATCTCTACATATAACTTCTAAACTAAATATAACTTCTACATAAACTTACAATTTCTACATGAAAAATTTACAACTAAGACTTGGTTGGAATTAAGCTGTTTGCAGTTTTATCAATAAAATAACCTATAGCGAACAACATCAAAGCCAACGTTTTTCTTACTGCTATCAATGTTGTGCAAAAAATTATGGTAATAAGAGTGAAAAGAAATTGTCAAACACATGCACATGTAAGTACTAAACTGTTGATATCAAGTACAAAAAAAAAATCTACCAAAAAAAAAACATTATAATTACAAAGGATTGCTATGAGGGAATTAATCACACATTTTATTCCAAATGAAATGGAAGACTATGAGAAAACAAGGACACTTTTGAAGGTGGAAATAGATAATTCAGGAACTATCATGATTATTTTGAGCCCTGAATTGAAGAACCCAGATATTCTGGAATGACACAGTTCAGTTCATTAATTTATCCTTTTATGTTTCCATTTAGAAAGGATGAGTTTCAAAATATAAAATATCTACTTACTTTATATTTTAAATCTTGTCTTGTTTAAGATAAAAACATTGAGAATATAATGTAAAATTATTTAAAAAATTTTTGTTTCTTTCGGTGCCTCTATTCAGGAAATGGTCAATCAAACCATTAATTGCAATTGAAATTACTACTTAGACTGCTATTTCATACTGAACCTGATTGTTTGCAAGAAAATTTGCTGAATACATTTATAAAACAAATGTTTGGACGAATATGAAATGTTTTGTAATTCTATACTTTAACAAACAAATTTGACAAATATATCTGCCCAATTTTTTGCCCAGTGAAGCTATGCCATTCAATTATTTTTTTTTTTAAATTTCACAATTTGATAACATTTTATAAAAATAGTGTGCATTTAAATAATTACAGTCTTGATAACATATTTGAAATAATGGTTATGTTGTCTCTTACAGATTAAATTGTCTTGATGATGGGTGAGTAACCTGAAACATTAGACTGAGGGAATAAAAATAAAAAATTACCCTGGAAGAGATGCTTTTTTATCTAAATCTTATTTAATAATAAAATATTTTTCAATTATTTATTTTCTCTGATGTAAATCAAGTCATGTATTAGAATTTTAGCTCTATTCCAATAATCCAGTTAAATAGAAATTTGGAACTAATAAATATTTGTAAAGATTTTATTCTAAACATTTAATGAAAAAGTAGAAGGACATTGATACATCTATGACCCGAAGGTAAATGACACCGTGTCCAGTTTTTTATTAAACATTTTAGTAACTAAGAAACAAATGTTAATAGTTCAAAGTTGTGGAAAATGGGTTGCCTCAATAAATAAAAAAATTTGACTTGGTGTCTCTCTCTATCTCCGAAGTACTGATTTTACATAGTAACTAACAAACAAATTTTAATAGTTCAAAGTTATGGAAAATGGGTTCTCTAAATAAATAAAACATTGTGATGTGGTGTCCTTTACCTCCGGAGCACAAGTTTAGTTATTAAGAACAAATTATAATATCTCAAAGTTATGGAACATTGGCTCCCTTGAACAAATACAAAAATGGACATGATGTTCTTTACCTATGGGGTACAGATATTAGCCTGTGAAAAGTTTTGAATAACAGGAAAATGATGTGATAAAAAAATTTAGCACAAAAATATTGTATTTAAGAATTTTCCTTGGTATTGCTCTTCAGACTGAAACATTGGAGTTAAATTGAAAATACTTAATTTAAGAAAAGAGGATCATTTGAAGTTTGGTTACTAATAATATATCTATCCCTGAACAAAAAAAAAAAAAAAAAAAAAATTAAGGTTTTCAGGAATTTCATTTTTATAAATACTTTTATACAGTAACTATCTTCAATATAGAAATAAAGTCAGATCTTTTAATTAAAATTTAGTCTGTTTGTTTTCAATCACTTCTTTATATAGTGATTATATTAGTAAAAAATAAAAGCAGAATTAATCATGATATAAAGTTGGCCAATTAAAAAAAAAAAGCAACAATCCCTTACCAACTCTGTGCATCCCCACAGTTAACATTGTAGTCCCAATCGCACACCCTGTACTGCTGGTTGAAACTGGTGTCGTTGGCGCATATGTAGGGTATCCTCCTCCCATCTTCATCGCACATGTGGAATATCTGACAGTGATGTTCTGTGTCCGCGTAAAAGCCAACCGCCCTATCAGTGCAGTCAAATGTGAAGGTTAGGTTAGGAAAGTCTTCCCACCTTTTTGCCTACAGTAGAATGAAATATATAAATATAAGTAAGATAATGGCTCACAGTGCTCTTTAATAAAAGTATTGAAGGAAGTTAGTCGATAATTCTACATATTGGTGCTAAATAATGGGTGATAAATAATCAGGATGCAGCATTGTGAATGTTTTTTTACTGATGCCAACATTTCATTCTCCAGCGACCCTTTTACTTACCTACCTAAGGGCAGTACTTCAATAACTTCAATGCTTGAAACATGATTTGTCTATTCATATAACATCGACGACTGTTTTATCAATTATTATCTGTCTTATAATATTGTATCTCTGATTATATTAAACAATTTTCAGCATTGATGATGACCCACATATTGGGTTGAAATGTTGACATAAATAAAAAATATTCACAATGACTGCGTCCTGACTGTTTATTACTCATGTTTTAATAAAATTAATTAAAATATGGAAATAGATAATTCTAATAAAAATAAATTGGAATAGTCAAGATTAACTATGTTGAAAGATGATATTTTTACATTGCATTAAAATTCTTCTATTAGTAGTATAGTTAGTATTTATAATTAAAAATTAATGTTAATAACAGATCTTAAGAAACCTAAGATATGCTATATCATAATATATACTATATGTACTAAGCTGTAAAAATCATTGGTTCCTATTCTTATTTCAATTTCTTATTACCATTGTCATAAAAATAAAATCAGATCTACTTTTTTTTTTTTAATACCTCCGCCAAAAATAAAAATCCTGGAAATGTTATGTCAATTTTTTTTTTTAAATTTATTTATTGAAATTTACAGTTATATTAAATAAATACATCTATTAAATATGCACAAATTAGAAATAATGATGATATAGATTTGTTGAGATACTACCCTGTGGTTGCACTGCCTAAATAATTCTAGATACGATCATGAGGCCATCTTATTTTCAGATGTTTAGGAGGATGATCAGGAATCGATTAAGTAACAAGGCTGGAAACAAGTTGATTCAGATGGGACTGGAGTTTATCATGAAAGAATAGATATCTGGCTCGGGCTAAATCAGCGACATATGAAACATTAAGGTCTTTATGAATGGTTTATTTGTGGCAAGATTTGGAAAATTAAAAATTTTATGAAGGATTTTTTATTGTAAGGATTGGATATGATAGAAATTTGATGGTTCGATGGAGCCCCAAAGCTCCATGTCAACATTAAATAATTAAAATGAACTCTAACTCCATGGCATTCTGATCAACTCCACCAATCATGCATGCTGAAAATACTGATTCCTTGGAAATTCATTATTAATGTATGAGGGCTTAAGTGGAAACCTTCCAGAAGACAGCAAAAAGAAATAATATAGATTCATAAAGACTCTCCAATTCAGTTTACTCTTACATTTACTTATCAAGCTTTTAAATTTCTATTAAATACAATTGCATATTTTTATGAGTCGAATTGTTAGTAAGACTACAGTTGTAATAGGTTATTAATAATAGGTTATGGTAATAGTAGTATTAGCATATTTTATATTCCAAATTAGGTCATTTTTTTATTTTAAACTCGATTGTTTTATAAATAAAAAGGTAGTACAATCACAACTGTTCAAGGGATAATAATATTAGGGATATTAGTACATTATTACATAAAATATTCAACATTAAAATATAGGAAGTAAATAATTAAAAACATTGGAATATAACATTCATTGATTAATATATGTATATATAATAGTCACCTAAATCTACGATAACAATGTATTTTTTTGAGTATTTATTTGAAAGATGTATTTGTTTGGAATCTTTTATTTCTTTATCTAAATATTATTTAACAAAAATATTATTTTTATCAGCTACTAATTTATCATTTATTGTTTTGATTATTTGTTTAATAAACTATAATAATGCATGGTTACTTACCCTATGGTGAACTGTAGGCTTTGTACAAACATATGCAAAAACTAGAAAATAAAATGAATTAATTATGAAATCATTAAAATAAATAATACAAATATAATGAATTGGATAACACACCAAGGCAAGTAGTTAACAGAACTCCTTCACGTAACATAATAAAGACTAGTTTCACGACCTGAAAGTATTATAAATTATTAATATCAATAATAGATAAACTATATTATATAAGCTAACAAATAATGTTTTAATGTAGAGAAGGATAGTTAGGGTGATATGTCAAAATAAAAATGACAAAAATAAATAATATTTATTTTAACATTTGCCGACGTTTCGATCCGAAGTTCAGGCCTTCATCAGGGCTGAGAAAACAGGTCTCTTCTAACTTTAGGTCGAAACGTAGGCAAATGTTAAAGTGAATATTATTTATTTTTGCCATTTTTATTTTGATTTATCACCTCAACTATCCTTCTCTTCATTATTCACTACAGTCAACTATCAACCCACAATTATTTTCTAATGTAATGAAATTTCATATTATTATAAACTTTTTATTAAAAAATAGGAAATTACTAGCTATTGCTGGAAAAGCACTAATCATAAAATATATATTTCAAATACCATCTGATCATAGTCTTTCAAATTGTCAGATTATAGTCAAATATTTTTCAGGAGATGTTTAAAAAAAAGGGCTTTCATATCATTATTTTACTATTTTCACTTACTAACCCATTTGGAATAGGCATATAATGAATACATTATGACATGTTTAATATGACATAAATATTGGATGCATAACTTAAGAAAGGATTGTAGAATATACATTATTTATGGCAATAATTGTACTGAGGTTGAAAAAAAAAATATTACCAAATTAAAATAAATGTTTGTAAGGAAAGAACAATAATAAATCAACTAAATGATAAGTATATGAAAAAAAAGAAAATAAATAAAATGAGAAAAAATAAAAAAGATAGGACAAATTCTTAAATATTACATAGAAAATATATAGAACTATATAATACGAATAATATTAGTATGCATAATATTAATAAAATACTAATAGAATATTATACATAGTATATCAAAGTGTTTGGTTATTATTTTTAGATGATTTATCAGTTCTTGTAATTCTGCCGACAATTATATTGTGTTCAGCTATGGGCTACTGGTACTCATTAAAAATAATACAATTTGTTATTTGTTACACCTTATCTAATACCAATAATCATTTATTTTATTATTATTAGTTTATTATATCTTGTAGCTGATTTTTTTCTTTGATATTTCAATCATAAGTGGAATAAAAAAAGACTACGATGTGTGCTTAAGACTTGAGGATAGAAGTGAAAGCATCAACAAGGTGACACTGATACGAAACATAGTTATTTTTTTTGTTCTGTGTTAACAAAGTAACAAATATTTACAATATATATAATTATAATTGTGTATAAATTACTGTAGTGAACTTAGTAGACTGAAATAATTTTTTTGTTTACTTCCAACTTTTATGGATTATAAAAACTATCTATATTGACTTCTGCAAATTGTTTTCTGAATCCTCCACGGCATTTAAACTTTGATATATTTTAGTTCAAATATTCAAAACAGACGTTATTTGTTTTCACTTTCCGAATCTCTTTAACTTGACCTCACATCAAAATTAAGTTTTGAATTATAGCCCATTTCAAAGAGGATGGTAATTTTCCTCGCTTACAGTAGGGAAGTCCAAATTTTACTTTTTAGGGTGTGTTACCAATGGGTAGCTTCTTCTCAAGTACCTTCGTTTTATATATTCCTATAGAAGATTTACTAGTTGTATATATGTTTACAGTTGTAAATTTCAATAAAATAAAAAAAAAATTTTGGTGTATTTTAATCCAATTAGTCGACTCTACCCAACTTTACCCAAATGAGCGATAATACCCAAACATGATGGTTCAGTCTCATTCAATACCCACAAAATAAAGTGCTAAGCATATCTATTGAAGTTTACACTTAAAAAAAATTGCAATGAATTATATAATTAACTATATCCTGAAACATTTGTTTGCCATTAATATTTGAAATGACCAATTATATTTTTGTAATGTCAGATATATCTCAGTCTTTTCAAAGTTTTTAGTACCTTATTCAGTTTCTCATTTCGTTACAATAATCTCCTTCAGCTAATTGATAATATTCGAAAATTTTAGTAAGCTGGATATAGTATAAACAGCTTCACAATAAAACAAGATCAAGATGAACTCTTCGGTAGTTAGATAATATCCCTTCCCTATCACATTGTCGTAGGTCCATATTCCACTGGGATAATATTGACTTTAAGGCCAGTGAAATACTAAATTGGGTTGTGAAAGTACGAACGATTTGTTTAGAGTAAACCTTCCAGGAACCTCCAATCTGTTTATTGCTGAAGATTGAATTGTTTAAAGTGTTCTTCCAGGAATCTCTGTGACAGTCGCCATTGTGAAACACGCCGATAACTCTGCCCCTGTGAAGTTGACATAAACACCAGCCGCCATTATCCTGCTGAATCACGGGGAGCCGATGTCAAGGGTCACAATGATATAATAGTTGCGTTGCTCTTCACGCCGTTACATCAGTTGGAATCTTCACGAGGTAATTTATTAAGGCGACGTCTTCCTCTAGCACAATCAAGCTACTGAATTCTTTGTAACGTTAAAAATGAACCTCACTACCCGTGTCTTCATTAAAAATAGTCCGAGAGCCCGTGAAAAATAATTGACATTATTAGATGAAAACTTTAAAAACATTTTTTATAATATTTATATTATAAAAAAGATAATCTGCCAGTCGAATCTTGCTAACTGTAAAAATGGCAGCTGATTTAAAGAATATTAGACCAATAACTTGAGGATCGAAACGGTAAATACATTGCGAAAAATGTGAGAAATTTTTTTATTTTTTAACTTGTATATATAGATCCAGAAATGTAAAAAAAAAAAGATTAACGCGGGCCACCAAGGCAAAACTTTTCACATCCAAAAAATCCAGATTTTTTCGATATATATATATATATATATTTTTTTTTTTTTTTTTTGCTTTAACTCCTAAACGGTGTACCGAATCGGAAAACGTTTTCTTTTAGAAATTAAAGAATGTTAAATTTTTCATTGAATGAGTACCTAAACTTAATAATTTGGTTGAATGGTATGGCCGATAAGCACGGTCAACTAACGCTGATTTTTTACAAATTCATCAAAAACTGATACAAATTACTATAAATGGCGCTGTAGCTGGAAAATTAATTCTCTAAGAGGAAAAACTCACGGGATAAAAGTTATAGAGCATCAAATTCCGCGTCCATCGAGAACTAACACTTTTAATGTAGGTCACTTACCTCATTTGAAATCGGAAGTGAATAGCGATGGCTGGAAATGGGTAATGAAGATATCTGTTGTGAATTTAAATATTTCAACATTATGGGTATCTATTCTACTGAGATATTCTTGTTAAGAGTCTATTATATACACTATAGAACTCTTTTCCACTTCTCATCACCGAAGAATTTTTTGAAATTCTTGAGAAAAATTCGAAAGATATAATTGACCTACATTAAAACTGTTAATACTCAGTGGACGCAAAATTCGATGCTCTACAATTTTTATTCTATTAGTTATTTCGCTTAGAGAATTCATTTCCATGCTGCAGCGCCATTTATAGTAAATTGTACCAGATTTTGATGAATTTGTCAAAAGGAGCGGTGGTTGACCGTGGTTATCGACTATACTACTTAACAAAATTATTAAGTTTAGTTACCCATTCGATGAAATATTTAACGTTCTTTAATTTCTTAATAAAAAACGTTTTTCACTTCGATGCACAGTTTAGGAGTTATCGGTAAAAAATATCGAAAAAATCTTGCTTTTTTGCCTATAAAAAGTTTTCCTTTAGTGTCTTGCGTTAGCAATTCTGTTTTTTACATGTTTCAATCGATATATACAAGTTAAAAAAATAAATTCTTTTCCTACAATTTTCGCAATGAATTTTCCGTTTCGATCCTCAAGTTACTGGTCTAATATTCATTAAATCAGCCACCATTTTACAAGTGGCAAGATTTTACTGGAAAACTATATTTTTTTTAATATACATGTTATAAATATTTAAAAAAAAATACTTTTAAAGTTTTCATCAAATAATGTCGATTTTTGCTCACGGGCTCTCGGACTAAAAGTGTATATACGATATCCTTTCTCTTCTATCTTCTCTGTTATATAAACAACTGGATAAGAAAAAAATGGAATATGAACTTTGGACTATTTGGCTGTTGGAACAAATAAAGAAAACTTGTTTATTTTTTTTCCTTAAAGGGTGTGGAAAGTTGGTGTGTCCAGTATTTTTTTACAGTGTCCTGAATTATTATGGTTTGTGGAGTACTTAATGAATCATGTTGAATTATCGTGGAGTATCTTGATATCGAGATGATTTGACAGTAGTGACTCTCTCTCTTTACCCCATACACCACAATATGAGGTTACCCATATCAATGTTATCTTTTTATTTTATTACATTAGAGTACTAAATAAATTTATATTTATATTATTATTTAATTATGAATTTTAAGTTTTTCAATAACATAAAGAAAATACAACTTTCTTCGCGCATAACTCGAAAATCATATAATTAAGAAATATATAAATAGAAAAATAACTTTATTCTGGGACAAAGCCTCTTGAGAATAACAAAACCGTACAGTAACGAAACACTACTTCTGGCCGAAGGCTTGATACATTAAATAAAATAAAAAAACATAAATCAATAATTCTAGCTATATGAAAAAAAAAATAAAATTATATACATCACACTTAAAACTACGAATAAAACCTTTAAAATATATCGAAAATTGTAAAATAGCATGCCTATTCATTTCTAGGACCAAACAAAAAATTAAATAGATTCTCTTAATAAATAAGTGTTGAGATTTTATTCAGAAAAAAAAATAGAAAACAAATTAAAGATACAGAAATTTAATAATATTTAATTTAAATTAATAAAATAGAATCGTGCTTAGATAAATAATAATAATAATAATAATAAATCGATGCATTTAGTGACATCTCAATATATCAGGGAATTCTTCTGATGTACATGGAAAAAACAGTGTTGTCATTTTATAATAAATTACATGAAAATATATTATGTTTATTTTTAAATATTTTTAAAACAAGAGCATATTTAGATTTTAACACCCATCATTAGAAACGTTGTTAAAATACATAAAATTCATAAAAGAGTTTGTCAAAATCGGATCGCTATTAGTAAAGATAATGAATATTGTACTCATGATTTTTAAAAATATTCTAGCGGTTTTTCATAAAAAAAATATTAAAATATCTTTAAAAAATTTTGCTTTGTTTCTCAAATAACTTTAATCATTTCAAATACTTATTGAAAACATGATTAAATTGTTTATGAAGTGACTATTAAAAATAAAACGGAACACTATTAGATAAGAGTCAGCAAATACATTTTGTTTTATTGGACATTGAATCGAAATCAGAAGCAAAGCTATGTGATTGGATCTACCAGATATTTTGTTGACCAATTACCTTGTTTGTTGAATATCGATATTCTAATCTTCAAAAATATTACAGCATATTTTAAAAAAACTGATGTACAAATATTTATTTATTATTGCGTTATAATAATGACAAAGAGCTATGGCTGTCAAGGTTCTTGCACAGGTTTCATATAAACATTATGTAGGGTCTAACATTTAGTTAGGGTCAGAAAAGCTATATGTTAATGCTAAGTATCTCCGATTTCTATACCTCGAGCCTTTTGTCGATAGGCTATATTATTACATAAAGTTTTACAATTTGATTAATAGTTCCATGTAGGAGAATATCCATTGCGTAACATATTTATTAGGCAAGAACTCACAAGGTAATTTCATTTTAAGAAGCGTTATCACATAAGTTTATAAATAATTTAACGAGCTACTGACGAAACTTTGCAAACAAAACACCTGTACAAAGCTGACAATTAATCATTCCATCATCTCTTGATGAGTGGGTCATTAGGGAACGTAGTAAAAACAATTCCTCACTTGTTTTCGATTCATTCTGCTACTGCATAAGAGTCCTTTGTCAAAGTTTGTCATATCTCATAATAAAGAAAATAATCCGGTGCGCACATCAAACAACTTTCACTTACCACTTTCTAATTAATTAATTTCTATTCAAAGAGAAATTATTATCTGGCAATGTTGGGCTGTTGAAAAGATTTTGAAGTGTATTTTAAACAGAACTAAACCTTAAACCTTACAGCTAACCAGTAACAACTCACTAAGACTATTAAAATAGCACGAACTCTACTTATTGTATCGAAGTAAAGCAAGAAAAACCTCGTAACTAAGTCTGCTTCTCTAAACCACATAAATCTAGTCTATACATATATGCCTAGAGAGACATGAAAGTACATCTGTATCATTTACCTATACATAAATAATTATGTATTGTAAATAAAATGATTATGGATTGTACTACTATTAGTTCTTAAACACTTATTTTTCCTATGAAAAGTTTACTAAAGTGGAGTTGCAAGATTTTCATTGCCTACCATCGAAAAGTCAAAAGATGTCTCACTAATTGTTAGTGAATAATGTTACGATTTCACAAGAAGAAAATACGTCAATTTATTTAATAATTTAATTTTCTAAAATGTTACATGTTGATTTTTTTAAATTAACCGACGGTAAAAATCTAATTATTTAAATATATTATTAGATCGACAGTTTTTAAATCACTGTAAATTTTCTATTTTCTAAATAGAATATATATATATATATATTTTTTTTTTTTTTTTTTAATTTTTTTTTTTTTTTTTTTTTTTTTTTTTTTTTTTTTTTTTTTTTATTAAGTATGCTTCGGAGTTCCTATGGCCGACTGTAAATAATGTAAATAGGTATGCCTGCGTCTAAGATGTTTATTTTCATTCCTTTTTTTTCTCACTATGATATTTTATTTTGTTCTTTTGTAGCTTTATATTATTTGAAGTTAGCTTATTTTTTTTATTTTTTTAAATTTGTAAATATGGTGTGAATGTACTCTCAGAACTCTATTATAAATGTCCTTTATTGAGACAGATTGTAATATTTATCAATAAACAAAAAAAATATATATATATATATTCTTTTATACAAGTACAATTTATACTTACAAGTGCAAGTTAATTTATACAAGGTGGATTTTATAAACTTTTTTTTTCAAACTTCAAAATATTTTTGTAAATTTAATTTAATTAGGACATTTAATTAAATTTCCTAAGAAACATGTTGTTTCCGTTAAATAATATTAGTTTTTCACCAATTATTATTTATAATTGTTTCGTCACTCTCCATTATCTTCAACGACTTGGCATGTTAGATATTGTTTTATTGAAAATTCTCAGTTTCCCAGTAATGTATTGTACACATACAATCTCACAATTATTTTCGAAAATTCATTTTCGACCTCAAAAATTATTTTTCCTTTTTTCATCTTTAGCCAAGTATCAAATTCTTCCATAGTTCATTTTTAGCCTTTTATTATTACTTTTAACAATGAGAGATGATTGATTATTCAAAATGAACCAAATTAAAGGTACAGAAAGAAATTCTGAACATTGAACATTTAACTGATAATTGAGATAAAACCTATCTGATATTAAATTATATATTAAATTATAAATGATATAATTATATATTAAAACACCGAGTTTAATCAAAATTGTTCCAGCAGTTTTAGAAAAAAAAGCAAAAACATAGAAAATCGATGACGTAAAGGGTTACTTCTGGTTAGCCGTTTTCCAGCAAAAAAGTGCTTCAACATCCCAGCCATATACCTGTCATAAATAGGAAATGAAATTTTCGTACAACTTTTCGTTTTTGAGCTATTCTGTTCAAAATACTCATATACAGACACACATAACATTTTGTGACTCATGGGACCTCAAAACGTGTATTACCGTTCAAAATTCAGATTTGAAAATTTATACTTTCGCAATACTTTCACTTACTATATATTAAAACCTTAGGCAAATGATTTGAAAAAAGATCATTTTTTTTTAAATTTGTCATATTTATTAAATTCTTGGTCAGAATCATGAAGAAAAAATAATTATTATAATAATGGAAGATAATCGGCCATTGTTAAAGTTAGAAAGGATGTTTAAAATGGCAATGAATGTTATAAAAATATATCAAATATCAAAAAAATATAATGATTACTTTATTAAACATATTGAATAAATTTATTAAATTCAGAACCTATAATTTATTTAGAGTATAATAATAAAAATCCAATATTTGATCCATCGGTCTTACTTTATTTTTTCCCTTTCCGAAGCATCAGCATTTCAAGGAGAAAAAAACTTACTTTATAATACATTTACTTTTAATATTATTGTTTTTTCTGTATTATGAATTGTTGATAGAGCGTGAATGTGCTCTCTGAACACTATTATAAATGTCCTTATTTGAGACAGATTGTAATATCTCTCAATAAATATAGTTAAAAATAATTAGAAGAAATGAAGCAGGCGGGTCAGTTATACCATGCCGCAAAACAAACTATCTTAAGGCGGGTTCGTGGTGAAGGCGATTAAAAGGAAATCTTCATATTACTGCGGTCATTTCCAAAACTGTTTTGGATTTATAAACAATGAATATTTTGGAATAAAGGATGAATATTATCAAAGGGTAACATTGGCAACCGCAGCACATAATCAACTACTCTGGTACACCATATTGTATTCAAACGGAAATTAAATGATAAACTGTTAATAATAATATTTACATTCTACAAACATTTTAATGTATAGATTGATATAAGTTTTCAGAAATTATACGATATTAATAGTACCTCTGTGATAGCAAGAATATTAAACAATTCAATTTTAATCCGAATCCCTCTCCCAAAAAAGTATTGTGAATTTTACGAATATTAGAAATTATAATTTCACATAAAATGTGTATTTACTTTTAATTAAATTATTATTTTTTATTTAAAAAAGTAATTGAAATACCAACCATATTATTAATGACAAATGCATTAAACAATTTTACTGTACCAAATCCAGAAGTTAATTTTGAGGGGGGCTTCAGCCCGAAAGCTTGTTTTTTATATGTATAAAGATAATTTCATTGAAAGAAAAATAAAGAAACTAACTACATATGTAAAATGGTGTTTAAGTGATACTTGAAGTCCTTAAATGTAATTACACAAACAATAATACTGTTAGAGATAATTTTTTAATATATTTTTTTCATAAGACATGGTTATATTTTCCCATTTCGAGGGTGGAAGGGAGAGAGCTTCAGTTCGAATTTTTGAAATAATTTTAGCTAAATGAAAATACGAAAGAATCTCGGTATAACCCAAAAAAAAAAAATTAATGATGTTGTTAATTATAAAGATCATTTATAATAGGTCTTCTTTATGTTTTTATTTACTGTTTATAATTGCTGTTCTTACTGTTTATACTTAAAATTGATTGTTAATAATGGTTCCGATTAAAAATTAATACTGACTTCTCGATGACAATTTTCTAACTTTTGTTTGATATACTTTTATTTACAACATTTCTAAGAAATTGAAAACCTTCTGATTTCTGAACTTTCGTTTTAATTTATTATTTATACTATATATTAGAACAAATTTAGATATATTATACAATTTATCAATAGTACCAATTTTATATATACTAGCACAAATTTATTATTTATTAGTAATAATATATATATATATATTATATATATATATATATATATATATATATATATATATATATATATATATATATATATATATAACTACGTTTTTTAAAAATCAGTTTAGGAACTTTGAACCATCCAAGTTTCGTAATATCTAAATATTCGGAAAGATAAATGATCATACTTTACTTTGCTGAGGATAGTAAAGTTAGTTTATACGATAAGTTTTCCATGTAATTATTTAAAATTATTACTCACTGGTTTGTAAATTGGATAAGCCAATGAGCGTTGAGGTATACCGAAGATCGGGGTTGGTTCACTGCAGCGGCGGGCACACATCCCTAGCATATATAGCTCCCTCCCACCTGATGTCGTGGCTTGCATCACCTCCAGGACAATACTTAGCATCTCCTCTGTCTATAAGGAGTAAATTGAGGTAGCTATTATTGTAAGCTTGAGGTTAGCAGATTTGTTGTACTACTATATACTATCAACCAACTAATTCCTAAGTTCCATTACCTATACTAAATATATAAAGCAAAGAAAAATTATTTTTGAATATTTGATAGTTGACCGTTGCATTATAAAGGAAAGAGATGGTCCAGGGTGGGGGTCATAAATAGGCTGAATAGTGGCGATACTATTTTATTAAAAGCCAACGTTTCGACCAGACTTTGCAGGTCTTCTTCATGGCTAGAACGGACAAGATACAAAAATGTAGAGAATTTTGGAAGTTACCTAATATTATGAAAAAAAATTATAAACAATGTGAATAAGCTTATTAAAATTATAAACAGTAAGTACATTAAAATATAAACAGAGTAAGCTAAGTAACAAGATCCTAAACTGAAGTAAATAGATGGTAACAATTGTTGTAGTGTAATATATATAATATGTGCAAATGTGAATATACTTCTACGGATCTACAGGAGAGATTGAAAGAAAAGGAAAAAGGATATAATATGAAATAGAGAGAGAGAGAAACACTTTATTTTCATAAAATATAAAATATAAAGGATTGCTGCCCAATTACATTGGGTTGCTATACACACAGCATACTCTTCTATCCTTAAGACAATATATGAACTTATATATAAATATACAGAAGTATTAGTTAATATTAGTAAAACAGAAATATATATATATATACATTTTTATTATTTTATTTATCCTTATAATTTTTTTTTTTTTTTTTTTTTTCCTTTTTCCCTCTTCTCATTGTTCATGCTTTTTTTTTTTTTTTTTTTTTTTTTTTTTATTTAACATTAAGTTTCCCTTTCTCTCACCTCTCTCTCTTTATCGCTATTGTTTTCAATTATTCACTAAAAAAATAAATAATCAAATACATAAATTAAAACTCTCGGGCTAGCCATGCACGTGGTGGTGAATGATTCCCAGGGGAAATTGTTTATATTTTATATGTTTATAGTTTATGGTTTATATTTTCTCCACATAAAGGAATGTGGAGAAAGGAAAAACAAAACAAAGAAAGCCAAAAAAATAATTAAATAAAATTAGAATAATAAAAATAGAGATTTACAGGTGTCTTCAGCTAGGGGTTTCATTTAGAACTGGAAAATCAGGGTAAGGGCAGGTATTGGGGAATTCGCTGACTTCTTTAGGTAATGGGGAAAAAAAGATTTTCCAGTTTTAAGTGAAACTCCTAGCTGAACACACCTGTAAGTCTCTATTTTTATTGATTTCCTCTTTTCTTTTCTTTCTCCACATTCCTTTATGTCTATTATTTAATATGCTTTTAGCCCAATACATATAGCCCTCCAGCAGTGGCTGATTGTATTATCATTCAATAAAAAAAAAAAGAAAAAAAATTATTTCATATAATATCATTTTTCCTTTTCTTCCAATTTCTCCTGTAGATCTGTAGAAGTATATTCACATTTCCACATATTATATATCGCACTACAACAATTGTTGCCATCTATTTACTTCAGTTTAGGATCTTGTTACTTAGCTTACTCTGTTTATATTTTAATGTACTTACTGTTTATAATTTTAATAAGCTTATTCACATTGTTTATAATTTTTTGTCATAATATTAGCTCTCTGAACTCTATTATAAGTGTCCTTAAACTGTGACAAATTGTAATATTTCTGAATAAAGTGTTTTAATAAAAAAAAAAAAATATTAGCTATTTTCCACAATTCTCTACCTTTTTGTATCTTGTCCGTTCTAACCCTGCAGAAGACCTGCAAAGTCGAGTCGAAACGTTGGCTTTTAATAAAATAGTATCGCCACTATTCAGCCTATTTATGACCGCCACACTGGACCATCTCTTCTGATTGTATTATTATTCAATAAAAAAAAAGAAAAAAAAATTATTTCATATAATATCCTTTTTCCTTTTCTTTCAATCTCTCCTGTAGATCAGTAAAAGTATATTCACACTTGCACATATTATATATCACACTACAACAATCACTAGCATCTATTTACTTCAGTTTCACTTTTGAATGTTGACCGTTTACTATTTACTTTATGGAATATGGTGCCCACTTTTAGATCCCCAATTTTACCTTGGAATGTTTTAATATTTATTTTAAAAAATATATTTATTATAACCTCCCTATTACCGAAAGTTGAATATTAATAACAATTTTATACTTTTTTACCTAATACATCTGTTTTCAGCCAAAAAATTAGTCTAGAGTCTATGTGTTGAGTAATGTTTAGGGAAAGTACTCTTATCAACTTAGCCAACGGTTGTGCAAGGAGGTGATTTGACTCAGATCACACTAAATCGCCAGGTTTTTCCCCTTAATTTATTATTTACTTAAGTTTAGAGGCTGGATGTACCCCAGAGGGTCTGCTGATTGTAGGGCCGCCCCACGGCTGATGAATCAGAATAAATAATTTTTCTGCCATGAGCCGGAATTCGAACTCAGGACTTTAAGCATTGGAAGATCAGTGTCCTAACACCGAGCAACCCAACTCTCTCAATATTTATCCTGCTATAACATAGTTTCCAGAAGTCTTAACACAAATAATTTACCTAATTCCGTATTTAAAATAGAATAAATTTTAGAAGCGTATTAAACACAGCACTGCATATTTTCGTAGTAACTGTTAAAACTCGGTTAAATGCGGAATAGATTTAATGAATCATAGTACAATATACTGTTTAAACATGACTTGAATAAATATGTAATAATCAAAACCACATGGAACCACCATCACACAAACAATCCTTTAAAGGTCAAAAGAGATATTTTAACAGTGAACGGTGTTTTCAAATCAGCCGACTTACATTAATGTTAGTCAAAGTTAAAGTAAGTCAAAATTGTTGAATTTTTTCAGTTGGACTAAGTATTTGCCAATCTGCCACCTTCCAAACAATGTGCTTGCTAATTTAAGTACGCAATAAACTGAAGCTCATTACTCTTTTTAAGGCTACAAATTTAATTATCACAATGGAAATTTAGTCCTACTTTCTATTTTATCGCGAATTTTTCTTCGTTTTTTATGGGAAAAGACTATTTACTATCATGCACATCATTATTATTTTTTTTTTTGTAGATTAAAAATAATATAACTTAACATTCCTTTCTAAATTCTTTGATAAACATTTTATACAGCTAATATTTTAGTCGATTTCTTCATTTAAATATTTAAGTTCTTGCTATTTTACCAATCCATAAAAATAATATTAGTTACCAAAACCGAAATAATTTTAATCAATAGTTGGATAAATAGTTAACATCTCGTGAGAGAAGGCGCCTAGGTTATACCATGCGGCATAACTTACCCCATACAGAATCATGAAATCAACCAGGAAAAATATTTTTGTCACCCATAGACTCAGATTTTGATGAAACTTGGCGTGGATGTTTAATTCTTTGATGTAACAATACCATTTCTTTTCCTCTCTACTTATTTACATTTTGCCGTCCATTTAATTTGTGGATTCTTGCGAATTTTATCGCTCAGCTACATAAAATTTAATTTGTTTTCCGATGAAAATTAAATCATATTATTCTTAATTATGATATATGAGACATATCCAATAAAATTATATACATTATAATTTGTTGTACATATTTATCTATCTAAACGATTGTCATATTTTAAAATTACCCAATCTTAAACTTATATAAAATATCTTCGTTATGTTATATTCTTCTTTTTATGTCCATGTTCATATATCAATCTTGTCACATTGATAAGCAATGCTAGTAATAAAGTCCATATTTTAGTTTCCCATTTTGAATTTAACCGAATATCCAAAAAGTTAAAACAATTTAAATATATAACCTATTAATATTAATATAATATGTATTTATATTATTGTGTTCAAATCCCTCAAATGTATTTTTGATTTGATTATTATTTAGTTATTATTTCACTTTTGTTAAATTTAAGTTTTCTGTATATATGGTGTGAATAGTGTTGTCCAAATGCAAGACCGAGACGAGTATTGGTCTTGCAAACTCAGTCTTGGTCATGGTCTTGATCTTGCGCAAGAGTCTCGCAACAGTCTTGCAGCCACTTATTAGCTTATTACTGTAGAGATATTACTGTAATTTTTAGATAGGAGAAACCTAACTAAGCCCGAATGGAAAACGAGAGGAGTTAAATACAAAAGTATATTGTTTTTACCAATTATTTACATATAGTAACCAAGATTGTCAAATATTAGTAACTATTTTGCCTTAATTTTTAATAAAAAAAAACATTTTTTTTTTACCAGTCCTGGTCTTGGTCTTGCAACAGTTAGGCGGGCTTGGTCTTGGTCTTGCAAAGTGCAAGAACTATAACATAAATAAATAACATAATTCACTACAGAAACAATAATGCTTTTAATTATATAATGTTTATATTTTCTTCTTGACACGGGCTTACATTTAGAACTTGTATATGACGGTGATTTGAAAAGATAACAAATTGTGATTGTTTCTTTAGCTAAGATCACTCACAGAAACAAATATGGACTAAAGAAAAAAAAAAATCTATTTTGAGGGGTTTTCAGTCCAAAAGCTCTCCTCCCTCCGTAGACTCGTCTGTGGTCCCTAGCATATGACAAACTAATGATGTTTTTATAATATAAAACTATAATATAATATATATTAGCTAATATGCTTGTGGCTAGCGAATGCTGAATATCTTACTTTAACGTTTTAAAAGAAGAAACAAACGCTCTATGGGTATGTTCTAAAATAAACGTGGCAATGATTTCAAATTGAAAGGACTCGGCAATTGATATACTGCCCTTAAAGTGATATGCTGATTTCTCCCCAACTGTGGTCTCCGGTGTGGATTACGTCTGGAATTGAGGGAGTACTCTCTGTTCGGAATGCTGAAAGAATCCTCTGGTGTCATATGAGATCTCCTGTCCGGAACAGACTGCATGGAACATGACTTCCTAGTTGCATTCACTTTCTACCAAAGATACTTTCAAATG